TCATCAACCCTAAACCATGAGAGCTGTGATTCAATGTCCAACGCTAAGAAATGCACTTGAACACATCTTCGCCTCCTTTTCAGTTGATTATCTAAGACCTGTACCCACTACAATTCAATCCACATTTAATTGGATCACCCTTCAATTAGCCGATCCACTCTGGGATTATACCATCGAAGTCAGCCAAGAGCCACTAGTCAGAATCAAGGAGAATCTCCTCAAAGCTCAACAATCCAAATTGTCTCAGAGGGAAGCATAAGAAACCATTGATCTTCTCAATCAAGATCAGAGACATGTGTTAGACAGTGGAATCACACCCAATCAACTCCCCAACCTTATTGAACACAATCCTGATCTATCAAGCTTTCTGTTGGCTCGCATCAATCAATGCGGCATCAGCATCCATGAATACTTCGAATGCTTGATTTAAATGAAGATATCACTACAGAGTTTGGAAGTTGTCAACAAACTCTCCAATTCAATCAAATTGCCTGAAGCCTTCCTCCACATGTATCTGTAAAAGTGCATCCTGTATTGTGAAGAATTGCAAGTATATATTATTCTAAACAACAGCCCAAACAATAGATGGTGTCAAGATATGTGAGATTGGTAGCTGTCTTCATCAAAACCCTCATCAAATCAAAAACCCTAGATCCAAAAAGAATGTTCACTGAAATATAAGGATTCTGCATCGAGTTCTCAAAGATCCCTGAGGCTTCATTGCTATTCAAACAACTCAAAGAGACAGGCGTAGAAGAAAAATAACATCAGTGATATTGATTGAATTATGAGATATTGTGAATTATCTCATTCTAATCCTTTTATTTCTTTTACATTCCTTTCTCTAATGACTTTCTCTCCTTTATACATGTACTTTAATGTACTTTAATATCTTTAAATAGATCATAGTGCGTAATGAATACATAAATATATATCATTTCAAAATTGCTTTCATTTTTGGAAATCATCTTATGATTTAATTCTACCCCTGATCTCCTATTGATAACTTCTGATTCTCTCTAGTTTCTGCTCCTACCTAAATTCTTTTAACTTCTTCTCCTCCTTCTAGTACTCTTCCCTGTTCTTACTGAATCTTTATTCAGCCGATGCCCACAGACCACTCTTCTCTAAAGGAACAATATTCGCAAAGGTATCCCTTAAATTAGGTGTTGCTCCGTATCTTGTCGACGGTTTATAATCAGATCTGTTCTTAGAGGCAATAAAGGGTTTTTTGAATTCATCAATCGACCTTTATAATTCAGGTAGAAATGAAGTAGCTGCAATGATGGTGGTTTTGCTCGGTTAAGTGTTTACGTTTATTAATTGAGCTCCATTCTCATCCAGAATTGTCATCCCATTCCTAATTTTTGATGAAAACTCTGCGAAATTTGAGAATCCCTTGTTTTCTGGATCGACATATTAAATTAGTAATCGTATTTCATCCTAAGTCAAAATATGTTTCATTCTTTGTTACAAATCTACTTATGAAACATAACCATCCTGATCAACATCGAATTCCTTAAATATCTTTAACTGTTTCTCTCTCTTATTAAATATTTAATCATCCACCTTCTTTAGAACAGCCTAGACTTATTTCCTAATATTTGGCAAGTTCATAGATAATCCAAGATCTTTGCAGTAATAACTTTTAGTAATTTCTGATTAAGTATCTTTTGTTTCTTCAGGCATCGATCCTTGTAAGATCGCCTTATCCTGAGGAGGTGGAGGTTACTTGATCTACTGTTGTGCTCTTTCAAAAAAGTCATCATCATTTTCACTAAATAATTCTATACATATATATACTCATAGAGAATTCTCAACACTTCGGATTTAGATTATGTATTATATTGATTGAATTGAATGACACTCAAGAGGGATTCGATGTCAAATTTATGATGTGTTTCATTAACACTATTGAGGAATTGGACAACGAGTTTGTTGAATTCCTTTTGATTAATTGTATCTCCATTGATTTTCTCTTGCAAGTACTCTTAGAAATTATCTCTCTCAGGTAGATACTTCTTTAATTTATTGATCATATTATTAGCTCGATATCTCATTCTTTCCAAGTGCCACCCGTTCACTTTGGTGAGATCGAAAACATTGATTCGAAATCTAAATATAATATTGAAGAGTACTTCTGTTTATCTTATTTATTTTTAATTAATTCAACCTTTTCTTTGAGAGCATATGGATCATCCTGATCAATAGCTATAATATATTTACATAAACTTCCTCCTTCAATTAAAACTATTTTAAATGGTTAATGAATTATTTGTAATCAATAAACTGACTGTCACCCCTAAAATTATTAGCCAATTCCTTAATGTCATCGTTGCTTAAGATCTTCTCATCAATCCTCAACTTCTTTACCACCTCCTCGAATTTCTTCTGACTCAAATGGCCTTCTTGTTTCTCATCTGCTTCTAACAGCCACTACCCCAGTTTCAATTGCTATTCATGAATACACATCATTAATACCCTATTCTTCAGCATGATATTAATTTGATTGTGATGCTTTCTCTGATGAGCCAATTAAGCATCTTAGATCAAAATGTTGATGGCAGTATTCTTATCGGTAGTATCTAGTTGTTTCAGATCCACATTCAGAATGTCCTTGTCATTAAATATGAGATCCATAAATTCATCCATTCCCAAATCATTGGATCCGTCCTTATCTGCACTAGCCAACAACACCTTTGCTTCATCTTGATTAATATTAATCCCCATCTTATTCACCATATTGTACAAGTTCTTAACACTAATGGCTCCATTAGCATCTTCATCCCACGAATTGAATATCTTTTGGAAGTTCTTCCTATTTGCATATCTTCTTCGAATGGATCTCTTGATATCCCTCACCTTCTCCAAATCCACCTTGCCTTCCAAAGTCACCTTGTTTTCCAATCCCACCAATTGTGTTTCTTGAATGCACTTCGCGTTCTCCTCCATCTTTTGATTTACCAACTTAGCCTTGTCCCCTGAATTCTGGTCGCCCTCTTTGTCAAAATTCCTTGAAATGTCCTTCCGATTATAGTGCACATTAGAATCTCCGCAAAAGGGTCGTTTGGATTTGTCCTCCAATTGAGTTTACCTCGGATAACCGATCTAATGGTGATCGTATTTCTTTTTTGTTAAACTCATAGTTTCAGCAACAGGGTCTACAAAACTGGAGATCATCTTTCTACGACTCTCCAATAATTGAGGGAAGTTCTTCTTGTTGGAACTATTCAATGATTGGATTCTGGGTCTCTCCAATTCAGTCTGTTCCCCACTCTCACTCATCTTGGAAATGAATCTAACGATTAATTATGTTCTTACTTCAGGTCCTTATTGGTTTTGCCATGATAATGGATTCTTTCCTTTCTAAGTTGCATTGATTATAAATTTTATTTATTCTTAATTATATTATAAGTTATATCATAAATATTAATGTACTCAACTGCAAATCAGACTATAACTATTTCCTATTCGTTCTGTTCCCATAATTGTATTAGGTTCAATATTAAATTGATGCATCCATCATCCTTGCTCATCGTAGCTTGATTGTTTAGAATCTCCACGAAGTCATAATTATCCACCTTCTCTAAGATAATTGATTTGAATTCCTCTGGTAGTTTTGGGAATGTAATGAACAACTCAGCGATATATTTGGTTAAGGAAGTACACATGAGCAACCTATTATGATTTTGACAACAATTACATCTGGCTAATGTATTTCAAGCAGTCAAGGTTAATGAAGATCTCGTTCAGGTGGTAGTCTGACAATTATTAATGAACTACGAGGGTTTACAGTAGGAATAGGTATTCCATGCAAAGTTCCTATTTGAGGATTGAAGATTGGTTGAAGTAATTGTGAAGGAAGGGTATAAACACTGAGATTGCTTTTTCAACGGTGAAAGCGTGAGGATAGTAGAGAATGTTGTTGAAGCACTTATAGATTATTTCGATTAAGGGTGCATCTGCAAGACTCATGAGCGAATTGATCATGGATTCAATCAAGCCGATGTCGATCAAATACTGAAGGATGTAATGATCATTGTCCTTTTCTGCAAGGAAGTTTGTGAAGATTGAGAAGACCTTGTGTGGGAACAGATTCAACTTCAGAATCTTCTCCCAAACGAATTTAGTCAAGGTCAAGGTCAAGGCTGAGGTGACTTTGAATTCAGACAGCCTTTACAAGATCTCCAGCACTCTCTTACAGAGATTGTCATCTTCTATTTGCACCTTATCTATCAAATAGGTGCATTGCGAGATGATGCAATTAAACTTATACATAATGAATGAAACCATACGTTGTAATGGGGAATGTCAGCGAGATCAATCTCGTTGGATTCCAGTAATTTGCACTCCAAAAGCAGGATGGCTCTCCATGCTTTAGCTATAGGGTTTTTGGGATATATTTTAGACCAAACTCTAAATAATTGAGATCTGAGAGTTTCCTCTCTAAAAATCAATAGTTTTCGATTATCCAATTCAAATTAGACGTTTATCAAAATTAGGCAAATCTGATAAATTCATAGTAAAGATTGATTACACTCTCAAGAATCTCACACCATCTATCAAAGTGAATCTGAACTTTATCAGGTGATACCATTCTACTCATCAAATCCTTCAATAAGAGAGTGATCAAATCGTTTTGCAAGAGATTCTCCACAATATCCTTCCTCTCCAAATAGGTGAAATTGATCAAGATTACCAACACTTGGATTATGCACATCAACCTATCCGATGTCAGATTGATTTCTAAGGGAATGCCACTCATTCGAATTATATCAAAGAATAATTTTAAACTATTGCCATTGGTGCTAAAGTGAGTGATGAATTGATTCAGAATGGGCAGATCATTAATGTTCTACTCCTCCAACAATTTCAAGTAATTCAAATTGTATTGTTTCAACAACCGAGCTAAATGTTTGAAATCCTACTCCAAATAAGTCTGATATATGAAATTGATTATCTCGTCGGGATTGCACCGCTCCACCACTTCCCCCTCCTACCCGAGGCTCGTCTGTCTTTTCTTAGAGAAAATCTCCTCGCGAGCCTGCTTTCTGATTTGAACCATAAACTGTTCTCTCTTCATTTACAATTCCGAATTCATCTTTTACTAATATTAATATATTCTTTCATCAAAGATGTACATCAAATTAAATGACATTAAGAGGAAGATGTAAACACTATCATCCACAATATATATAGAGGAGGATTGCAATACTCAATATTGTCCCCACAAGATGCTATCAATTTGGCGGAAGTCAAAATCTTTAGAGACAAAAATTATGATAAAATGACTGGGAAGAATATTGAACATGGTCCACTTGATTTGCGTATGGGTCAAAGTTTACGAGACACTCAATGCAGCAGTTGCACGCTATTGAATGAATGTCCTGGACATTTCGGATACATCCCCTTATAATTGCCAATCTATCACCTCGGCTTTTTCACTCACGTGGTCAAGTGCTTGAAGTGTCTCTGTTATGTATGATTTGATATTGACAGTCCTAGAAATGCGGTCAAGTAAGATTAACCCCTGACGAGATCAATCAACTAACCTAAAAGATGGTACATTGCATATAAACACGATCCTACAATGCACAGTTGAAGGTATTCAAGAAGGTCCTCAAAAAATGCAGATCAAACAAACAGTGTCCCCATTGCTATTGTGAGCAGATCGGAGAAGCCAAAAAACTAGCCAAGGGGGATGCAGGCAAGATCATCCTGGACACCATGGATATTAATGCACTGTATGCCTGGAATCAATTCTCCAACATCCCTAAACAACATCAATTCCTGTTTTGCATCAACCCTTTCTTAAACGATTTGTCTGATCTCCTCACTTCCATCATACCCGCTCCACCCAACAACATAAGACCCAGCAAAATGCTAAGCAATACCACCAAGGCAGACGAAGACGATTTGACGATGAAGTTGAAAACCATCCTCTACCACAACGATCTGTTGCAGAAGTAGATAAAGGAGGGAAAGGATGGCATGTCAATCCTCAAAACGTAATTCTTGACTCAAGCACATTATTTTCATTACTTCAATAGTGAGACACCTCGTTTGCCCCAATTCTCAAGCAAAGATGGAAAGGTGGACATACGTGGCATCTATCAGAGACTCAAGGGTAAGAGAGGAAGACTAAGGGGTAATCTATCCGGTAAGAGAGCAGAATTCACTGCACGTTCAGTCATCTCTCCAGATCCTAATTTGGCTATTGATTAGGTCACCATTCCATAGCATATTGCGTGCATCTTGACAGTACCTGAAACTGTCACCGCCTTGAATATTAAGAAGATGAGAGACTACGTATAAAATGGACCCTCCATCTATCCAGGAGCCAAATTCGTTAAATTGGGAGGAGTCAATTACAATTTGTAATTTGCAAGAAGGGCGCATTTAGCCTATAAGTTAAAGATTGGAGATGTGGTGGATAGACACTTGTTATCAGAGGACATTGTCATTTTTAATCGTTAGCCGTCATTGCATAGAATTTCTATGATGGCCTTCAGAGCTAGGGTGGATAAGTGGCACACTCTTCGATTCAATGAATGTGTGTGTACTCCATTCAATGCTGATTTTGACGGAGACGAAATGAACATACATTTACCATAAACCTACGAAGCAAGATCAGAAGCATTAATTTTGATGGATGTCAAGAAGAATCTCAAAACTATTAAAAGTGGTGAATCGCTCGTTTGTTTACTGTAAGATTTTCTTACCACTGCCTGGTTGATAACAAATAAGGATGTCTTTTATTCCAGAGAATAATTTATGTAATTTTGTGCGGCCTTCTCTGATTCCAATGAACAAATAGATTTGCCAGCCCCAACGATACTAAAACCAAAATAATTATGGACAGGAAAATAAGTAATCAATGCATTACTTGTACCTAACAGAAAGACTAGACTAGTGTTGAATTTAGAAGCAAAAGAAAGTAACGCATTTAAAGGAAAGTTGGACTATTTGTGGATGGACCCTGGTGATGGCTAGTGTCGTATTTGATAAATGCGAATTGGTTTGTGGAAATATAGGTAAGAAAGTGCTGGGAGCATCGAAATTAGGGTTGTTCTACGCACTCATAAGAGATAATTCTACTTAGATAGCAGCATCAGTAATGCAGAGATTCGCAAAATTGTCTTCCAGATGGATATCGCATTATGGAATGACTATTGGAATTGGTGATGTGATGGCACCCAAATCTTTAATTGAATAGATCCATTAGAGCACTGAATAGAGTTACTTGCAATGCAAACACTATTAACGAAGTCTAATTGATGCTGATCCTGGGTTGACAGTTGAGTAGACCTTGGAAGCTAAGGTGAATAAGACTCTATCAGATGTGAGAGAGTAAGTGGGTTCAAAGTGCCAGGAGTAATTGAAGAGTGATAATAAGGTGTTGATTATGTATCTGTGTGGTGCCAAGGGTAGTAATGTCAATGTGGCCCAGATGATTGGTTGTGTTGGACAATAAGTCATATCAGGAAAGAGAGTCCCAGAAGGATTCACAGGAAGGACACTCCCACACTTCAAAGATTGTGGCGATCGCTATCCCAATTTAGACATCTTGCACCCGAAAGCCAAAGGGTTTGTCAAGAATAGTTTTTATACGGGAATGGATGCAATTGAGTTCTATTTCCATAATATGGCTGGAAGAGAAGGGTTGACAGATACCGCAGTCAAGACAGCCACTACTGGATATATGCAACGTAGGCTGGTTAAGATGCTTGAAGATTTACATATTGCTTATGATCTTACAGTTCGATCTTGTGACACCAAAGAGATAGTTCAATTTAGGTATGGAGAAGATGGATTGGATCCTCTGGCAGTAGAAGATGCAAATGAGGTTATCAAGCTATAGAACCTTTTGACTAATTCATTTACTGTCCTCAGGAAGAATCAAATATTGTTGAATAAAGAACACATGCTGATCAAATTGGATGAACTATTTATGATAATTGAGGAGAGACACAAGAAATTCTTGGAAAACTATGAAGCCACTTACGAGAAAGAGAAGAAGAGAGTCTAGGCATTGTTTAAGAGTACCAACCAATAGGTTTCTGAAAAATAATTGTAATGGTTCATCAGAAGTTGGATGGAAAGATTCTTAACCATGGTTATGGCACCTGGTACTAGTGTGGGACCCATCACATCTCAATCCATTGGTGAACCTGCTACTCAAATGACTTTGAAGACTTTCCACTCTGCTGGTGTTGCAGGAATGTCCATCACTTAGGGTGTTCCTCGTCTAAATGAAATCATCAATGCAAGTAAGGAAATCAAAACACCCTAAATTAATGTGAAATTGATCAATCGCCAGGTCATGGATCATGCCAAGTAGTTCGCCAAGTCTGGGGATCCTCAATATGAGTATGCTCATCGTGCAGTCATCCATTCTGCTTAGTAAGCCTAAGATGTCAACATACAAATAGAGTAAACCAAATTGATGTAAATACTGAAGAAGATGGATGAAATCTACACAGCAGATAATTGCTATATAGAATTAGAATTAGATTGTCATTGTCTAGCTAGATTGAAACTAGAATTTGTGACTCCCAAATACGTGTGTGCTCTGATTTTAAAAGAGTTGAAATTGTCACCTGATGATGTCAAATATGATCTCAAAATTATTAGAATTACAGTTAAAAAGAGTTCTAAGAAGAAACAATCAGAAAACCTGCTGTTTTTGATCAAAGAGCTATAACGAAAACTATTGAGGTTGCACATTTATGGTTGTGCAAATATCAAGTAAACTGTTATCTAGGTTACAGATAAGGATGATAAGGAGAATGTCAAGGGAGAAGCCAGGTTGTTTGCATCTGGTATTGGATTCAAAGAAATTCTACGATTGGACAACATTGATTGGAAACGAACAGTCAGTAATCACATCATGGAAATTCAAAGTGCTCTTGGAATTGAAGCTGCCAGATAGAGTATTGTCAATGAAGTGTACACTACCATGTAAAGTCACAGCATTTCCATTGATATAAGACACATCCTATTGTTAGCAGAATTGATGACATTCAAAGGTATTTATTCAATTTTTACTCAATTAAGGAAGAATCCTTGGGTTCACCAGACAAGGAATAGATTAACTAAAGAATTCAGCCTTGATGCTTGCTTCCTTTGAAAAAACAATGGACGTCTTTTTTAATGCTGCCATCCAAGGGAAGTAAGATTCGATGAATGGTGCATCTCAACGAGTAATCATTGGATAGAATGTGCCTCAAGGAACAGGAATGTTTGATCTGATGTTCCCTGTTAAAGAAAATACAATCTTGGAGAGCACAATCAATCAATAGAAGTTTTTGTTTGCTTCTAAATGATACAAATTATAAAATCGCATTTATCAATATTATATTATTCTGTAGTTTTGTGAAGCCAGATTATTTTCTACATGAATTCAAATTTAACCAAATTCATAGATTCTGGGAATGTTGTCCCAAAATGTTAATAATTCATATATATTAATGATCTGGTAAAATTGTCCAATTAATACTTTTATTAATTTTACAATAATAAATATACTGCCAAAAAAAATGATATTTATAACAGAGATCAATTAAATCTATTTTTTAAGTCATTTAATATTTAATTCTATTCATTCTCATCTTCCTCCTATAAAAAAGTGTCAGCTAAATTAAATTCATAACCATCCTCTAAAGCCTACAAACTATTTTATTTTAAATCTCTCAATAATTGCTCTTTTTTTGTATCATTACCAACAAAGATGATGTCTTATGCATTCAAATACTAAAAACTTCTCTTTAGTTATTCCTTATCTCTTTCAACGTTTTCGCTGAAATGAAACTTAGTCACTATTATGGTATACAAGTTCTTGAATTTTTGAAATAGTTTATTAATATTTTAGACTTTTTTCTTCATTAAATCCGTTCTCTCAAAATTAACAGCTATCAAAATTGATCTCACTCTATTCGGGTATTTATTGAACAATTCTTTGTAATTATTAATCTGCTCTTCTCTTGAATCATAATCTGAATCAATATCAAAGGACGAAGTATCAACAAAGTAATATTTCAATTATTTTTATAATATAGGCTAAAACAGTTCTATTTTGGTATCCTCATCAAAAATCTTTCTCATTATAAATGTTTTCCCATTATCTACCTAACCGATTATTAGAGCCAATGGAATTTTCTCCTCGCACAAACTCTCAGAACTAATCATTGATGTTTCACTTGAACTAGAAACAGATTCATTGGGAATTGTTATCGAAGGTGGCATTGATGGCGTATCTTATGGAGGTATCGAGGGAGTTAATTGAGATGTTAATTCATAATTCCGAGTGATACATAATTCTTTTGGTTCTTAAGTTTTTTTGATACTAAGTGCATTGGGTGAAATAGAACCAAATTTATTCTCCAAACTAAATGTTGAAGAATAATTAAAAGCGCTGCTTATATTTGTTGCGCAGGTTGATACGTTTGATCTGAAATTCGAATATTGATTAGATTGAGTCCCCATGATATCCCAAGAAGGCTTCTTACTTTAAAATACTTCATATCCAATCCAATTTTGCACCTTTAACTTCCTCATCCTTTAGATAACTTATTTAATCTAATCCAAAAAGTAATAGAACCCATAATATATTTAAGTCTAATAGAATTAGAATTATATAATGATAAAGGTAATAAACTTTTTGAGGTAGAAAAATATTGTATTTGAATGTTCATAATTAAATACATGTCTGCTCTTATTGTAGTAGCGTTTTTCATAACATTTTAATATTGTTATTCATATTGCATTATGAACTCGCAATATAGATTCAAATTCTATTTTAATAATTTTTATTTAATTTTTTTAATAATAAACTTTTAAGATTTAACATCTCTTTGTTTGTTTTTGAAAATAATTACTTGTAATTCATCATTATTTAGAGGAAATAGTTCATCGACTAAGATAGGGATTTAATAATTCGTTTTCTCAATTCAAAAAGATCTAAATATTTGTATGCATTCCTGGTATAAATTCTGTTCTTTAAAAAAAATTTTTTCCCATTTATAACAATTATTGGATTACTCTCAATTAGATAGCATTTACACGCTACTTCAATTTTTTAATTAAAAAGCCTATAGAGTTCAGTAAATTACTAAATAACAATTAGATTCAATTATTAAGAGATCCTTGCTTTAAAAATTAAACAAAAAGAAATTATTTAATATAACATAATAATTTATAAGCACAAATCAATAATAAACTCACGATCTTACAGTCATCTGTTATAAAGCATTCATCATTTCCTATCCTTCTTACTCATTATGCTTTTCAAATATCGTATCAGTTAAATCAAATTAATAGCCTTCTTCAATTAGGAATTAAACAATCTGAAGCCCTTATTTGATCAATTAATTCTTCTTTAGTTGCCTCTTGATCAACAAATAGAATTGACTTTGCTTTAAACATTTTGAATGCTCTTTATAAATCGATTTTATCTTATTCCTAGTCATCACTTAAATCAAAATGAGTAACCACAAGGGTTATTTAACTCTAAAACTTCTTAAAGTAGGGATAAATATTCAGTATAGACCTTTTCATTAAATCAGTTCTTTCAAACTTTACAACAAAGAATAATGTAGCCACTTTATTTGGTTTGCTATCAAATATACTTTAAAATTCTGATATTTGCTACTCCCTGTATTCAATATCATTCTTAAAATCAAATGAGATTGTATCTACAATTTCATATTACAAGGCTTCCGTATCATTTATTTTATTATAGAATTTTGTTTTACCAACCCCAGCTTCTCCAATTATTAAGGCAATAGGGTATTCTTTAGGTTGAGCAGGTTGGGGTGGTTGCACAGGTTCTGCAGGTTGTACAGGTTCAGCAGTTTGTACAAGTAGTTTTTTTAGATGCCAAAAGAATTTCATAATTCTTATGAATATCCTAATAACAAGGGAGCAACTTATTACTTGTATTACAATGAAGTAACAAAGCATGCGCAAGGTAATAAATGGAATATATAAAACTCTATTGAAAAAAATCTTAAGAATAGTTATGAAGAAATTATAAGTAGCCTAAATTGCCGTTCTTAAAGAAGCAATACATTTGTTAAATAAAGTAGCAATACATTTGTTAAATAAAGTAGCAATACTTTTCAAAGTTAAAATAACATATTTCTGAAACCAACTTCCTAAATAATCCTTATCTTAGAGTAATTTAGTATTATAAGGTTCTATTTATTGATTATTGTTTTATTTCTCCTCTTTGATGCAGATCGAAAATTAATTATGAACAAAGCAGGTAAATTCACACATTTTTTAAAACTTAATTATGAAAAAGTTCTTAATATATTAATACGAGGATACTATTTTTGTTGTAGCCTTTATCTTCAAAGTCGATAATATAGTATAAAAAAAGGATAAAACTAAATAAATAATGAAGAATGGGTTTAATATCCTTTTAAGATAATTGAACTAATGAGAAATTTCGTTTTTTGTTTTTAGATATTTGGCTTGCAAACTATTAAAGTAATGGCATGTATTGTTTTATTTTTGATTGGATACAAACAATTATTGAGATTATTCTATTTCAATATTTTAAGAATCATTTTCTTAAGCAAAATAGACATATTACGAATTAACATTACTCTATTCATCCTATTCTTCTTAAGTTTTTTATTTAACCTAGTTTTCTGGTGATTCATTTTTGTTTTTCATTTCAATCATTTGGTTTAATTAAATATCCTATTATGTTTATTCAAACATAGGATCTGATTATAAAACTTCTTATT